ATGAAATTTTATCTTAATTGACCTAACTAATCTTAAATAAAATAAGGTTCTAATATGATTGGTATGTTGGTAATTATCTTTATTTTATTCAATAATTTATAAATGGAATCTTAATCTAATTAATTTTAAAAAATTTAATTTTCAAACATCACTAAAAAAAAACTTTCAATTACAAAAATTATAGAAACAAATAGAACTTTAATTATTTCTTTTCTTTTTTTTTATCATTTTTCTTAAAGTTAGAACAACAAATCTTAAAAATATACAATGTTTTCAAAATTTATATAGTGGAGCACGAGAGATGAAAAAATAAATTTAGTAAATTTGAGATAATATTTAATTCAAGTACACATATACCAAATATTTATTTATTAATTTTTTCTAAAAAAATTATTCACGTGCAACGCACGTGGTGCATTACTAGTAATAAATAAAGGGTTAATTATTTTTGACCTTCCTGTAATTTTTCTAAAAACACCTTAATTATTTGACGTTTAAAATTATATACATTATTTTCTTATAATTATGTATCAAAGAAAAATAATTATTTTAATCATCTAAGGTACAGAGCCACAAGTCCAAAATATGTTGTAGGCTTTATTTCCATTGTTTCTCTAAAAAAGAATATTATCGAAGTGCCTAAAATATCATTATAATATATAGTATAATACCCAAATAGGTAAGGCATCGGTCATAGATAAAAAAAACATGTAAGAAAAACATAAATAATTTTCGGCCTTAGATCAAAACCACACTTGAGAGAAAAAGAGACTCGACATAACTGATTGAAATGTATTAGTTTTTTTATTATGTTCCATTAGTTTTATAGTTAAGAATAAATCGGACGAAAAATCTGATTTTAAAACGTTGGTATTATGATAACTTTTTAATTTTGTTAATGGCGTCAATTATTTTACTTTAATACATAATTATAAGAAGATAATGTGCATAATTTTAAATATCAAATAGGTAAGATGCATCTAACCGAAACCATAAGAAAGTAAAAAACAATAAACCCGCAAATAAATGCCATGAAAAAATTAATTTTTTTTCCCAGTTGAATTGTTTGTCGCAATTGCGCCAAATCAAGCAACTTTGAGGATACACTTGTAGAGTAAGGAAATGAAATTTTAATATTTGAATTTATAATATTTAATACTATTTATTATTTGTGTCTAAGGTACAGAGTAATAAAAAATGATAAATAATAAATATATTTGTATTTATATATTTGTAATTAAATCACAAACATAAAGAAGAGATAAAAGAATTTAAACATCGGTTTATAGTGGGGGTGAGAGGTGGTGGGCGGCAATAGTAATGATTGTGGTGGATGGCAATGACCGTAGTAANTAATACTATTTATTATTTGTGTCTAAGGTACAGAGTAATAAAAAATGATAAATAATAAATATATTTGTATTTATATATTTGTAATCAAATCACAAACATAGAAAAGAGATAAAAGAATTTAAACATCGGTTTACAGTGGAGGTGAGAGGTGGTGGCGACAATAGTAATGATTGTGGTGGATGGCAATGACCGTAGTGATGGGGATGGGGCAGGGGTGGTGGTGGGGGTGATGGTGACGGCAATAGTGGTGGTGGTGGTGACGACAGTGGTGGCAGTGGTGGTGGTGGTGACAGCGGCAAGGGTGGTGGTGATAGAGGGAATGGTGAGGTGGTTTCAAACACTAACTTTTTTTTAAAGTATTTATGAGAAATAATTTGTTAAAATACTTTTAAAAAGTCACTTCAAACATACCCTTAGGGTCTTTTTTTGCTATTAAATTTAAGGTGTTAATATTAGCCGTTAGATTGACTTTAAAATAAAATTTAAAGCGATTTCAACCACGAATAACTAAAGTCATTTTATTTACCTTTTAAGATTTGAATTATAACCTACTTTATTATATAGNGACACGTGTCATTTTCTAATTTGAAGAGATTTATTAACCTATATTACTAATAAAAATATCTTAACATAAAAAATTTTTGATTTACAATTTTATCCTGATAAAAAATTAAAATAGTCACTTTATCCTTCCACACTTAATATCTAAATTACTATCATATCTTTATACATTTAAATTTCTAAACAAGATCATTTTTAATTATATATTCTCAATGTATAAATTTCAATCTTTATTAAAATTTTTGATTGATTATATTACTCCTAAATATGCATCAATATAATATTACTAATCTCATTTATAAAAATAATATTGTGACTATATGTGTATATTTTATTTTTCATTAAAATGTTTAACCATTTTCATTTTTAAGATAAAAAATAATGTATATATAGTTTTACATAATTTTTTAATCACAATAAAAATTTTAAATTGTGTTAAGATTTTATGTGAAATTTTGAATTTTTTTAAAAATTTTAATAGGATTTATAATATATATTATAGCATTGTTTATGAAATTTTATCTTAATTGACCTAACTAATCTTAAATAAAATAAGGTTCTAATATGATTGGTATGTTGGTAATTATCTTTATTTTATTCAATGATTTATAAATGGAATCTTAATCTAATTAATTTTAAAAAATTTAATTTTCAAACATCACTAAAAAAAAACTTTCAATTACAAAAATTATAGAAACAAATAGAACTTTAATTATTTCTTTTCTTTTTTTTTATCATTTTTCTTAAAGTTAGAACAACAAATCTTAAAAATATACAATGTTTTCAAAATTTATATAGTGGAGCACGAGAGATGAAAAAATAAATTTAGTAAATTTGAGATAATATTTAATTCAAGTACACATATACCAAATATTTATTTATTAATTTTTTCTAAAAAAATTATTCACGTGCAACGCACGTGGTGCATTGCTAGTAATAAATAAAGGGTTAATTATTTTTGACCTTCCTGTAATTTTTCTAAAAACACCTTAATTATTTGACGTTTAAAATTATATACATTATTTTCTTATAATTATGTATCAAAGAAAAATAATTATTTTAATCATCTAAGGTACAGAGCCACAAGTCCAAAATATGTTGTAGGCTTTATTTCCATTGTTTCTCTAAAAAAGAATATTATCGAAGTGCCTAAAATATCATTATAATATATAGTATAATACCCAAATAGGTAAGGCATCGGTCATAGATAAAAAAAACATGTAAGAAAAACATAAATAATTTTCGGCCTTAGATCAAAACCACACTTGAGAGAAAAAGAGACTCGACATAACTGATTGAAATGTATTAGTTTTTTTATTATGTTCCATTAGTTTTATAGTTAAGAATAAATCGGACGAAAAATCTGATTTTAAAACGTTGGTATTATGATAACTTTTTAATTTTGTTAATAGCGTCAATTATTTTACTTTAATACATAATTATAAGAAGATAATGTGCATAATTTTAAATATCAAATAGGTAAGATGCATCTAACCGAAACCATAAGAAAGTAAAAAACAATAAACCCGCAAATAAATGCCATGAAAAAATTAATTTTTTTTCCCAGTTGAATTGTTTGTCGCAATTGCGCCAAATCAAGCAACTTTGAGGATACACTTGTAGAGTAAGGAAATGAAATTTTAATATTTGAATTTATAATATTTAATACTATTTATTATTTGTGTCTAAGGTACAGAGTAATAAAAAATGATAAATAATAAATATATTTGTATTTATATATTTGTAATCAAATCACAAACATAGAAAAGAGATAAAAGAATTTAAACATCGGTTTACAGTGGAGGTGAGAGGTGGTGGCGACAATAGTAATGATTGTGGTGGATGGCAATGACCGTAGTGATGGGGATGGGGCAGGGGTGGTGGTGGGGGTGATGGTGACGGCAATAGTGGTGGTGGTGGTGACGACAGTGGTGGCAGTGGTGGTGGTGGTGACAGCGGCAAGGGTGGTGGTGATAGAGGGAATGGTGAGGTGGTTTCAAACACTAACTTTTTTTTAAAGTATTTATGAGAAATAATTTGTTAAAATACTTTTAAAAAGTCACTTCAAACATACCCTTAGGGTCTTTTTTTGCTATTAAATTTAAGGTGTTAATATTAGCCGTTAGATTGACTTTAAAATAAAATTTAAAGCGATTTCAACCACGAATAACTAAAGTCATTTTATTTACCTTTTAAGATTTGAATTATAACCTACTTTATTATATAGTTAACTATTATATCTCGTAATCATTATTATTTGTCATAGGGAGTAAAATGGATGATCGTCTATGGCCCGAAAACTTTGAAATATTTTAATGTGTATGCAAATTTTGTATAATTCTAAAAAAAGTTATAATATCTCAAGAATTTTAAAGAAAGTGATTAATTTTTAAAGGAAAAGGTGCTCAAATTTTTTTATGAACTATAAATCATCAAAATAAATTTAAAATTTTGCAGTTAATTATTCTTTTACCGCATTTTTTAATCTTTGTTACTGGAATACTATATTTTTAAAATTATCTATTAATCTATTATTTTTAAAAAAAACGTGTTTCAGACTCACAATTTTTAATAAAAGTGTGCTTCTAAGACACTCCTTTTAGGACGAAATTATTTTAGGGAAATCGTGTTTGAAAAATTCACCATCCAAATCCCTCAATGTCTTTTTCTGTGTTGTGCTCTCACACTATTAATACAAATCTCCCATTTTAACCCCTCAAAAATATAGAAGTTACCCTACACAAAGGCATTTATGTATCTGCCGCAATGGATGCATACTTACAACTTGACTTGTGCATGTGGTTGATGCTTACATTGTATCTCTTTTTAACTTGCAAATGCAAAAAACTTTTTAGAAGGACGGGGGAGTCCACTAAAATCCGAAATTATAGAGCCTAACATTAAAAAATTCAAATGATAATAGAAAAGAATTATAAATTTTGACGTCTTGAATTCTTTAACAATCCTTTTTAAGACTAGACTTTGAGAGATTTCATAATGAATATCCTAACCTCGATATGGGTTATATGCATTTAACCGGACCAGATGAAGGCTTGATCGAAATGTACTTAAACTGGTTCAAACACCATTAATCATTAAACTTAAAAAAGAAACTATAGAGCCCAATAAAGAATTGGCTTTCTATGTTTTCAAAATATAGATTGTGCCCTTCACTGTGTACCAGAAGCAAGGCTGCAAGGGCTTTTTGAAGGCTTGTTTGACCAACGCACCTGGACACCTTCACTGAGCATTTACAAGAATGTTTATTCGCCCATATTATCAAGCACTTGACACCTCGAATGATATTTCACGTAACAAGAACAGCAAGGAATGATCAAAGAGATGAATTGAGGTACTTTTATTACAGAGAAATAATAACCCATACAAGCCCTACTTCTTATTCACCACCCGCAAGTACCCCATGCTCCTCTCAGCAATTCAATGCATCAAAGTTAATAATAGTAGCCCCACCACCTTTGGCTCATACTTAAACATGCATGAACCCTNGCTTACATTGTATCTCTTTTTAACTTGCAAATGCAAAAAACTTTTTAGAAGGACGGGGGAGTCCACTAAAATCCGAAATTATAGAGCCTAACATTAAAAAATTCAAATGATAATAGAAACGAATTATAAATTTTGACGTCTTGAATTCTTTAACAATCCTTTTAAGACTAGACTTTGAGAGATTTCATAATGAATATCCTAACCTCGATATGGATAATATGCATTTAACCGGACCAGATGAAGGCTTGATCGAAATGTACTTAAACTGGTTCAAACACCATTAATCATTAAACTTAACGCACCTGGACACCTTCACTGAGCATTTACAAGAATGTTTATTTGCCCATATTATCAAGCACTTGACACCTCGAATGATATTTCACGTAACAAGAACAGCAAGGAATGATCAAAGAGATGAATTGAGGTACTTTTATTACAGAGAAATAATAACCCATACAAGCCCTACTTCTTATTCACCACCCGCAAGTACCCCATGCTCCTCTCAGCAATTCAATGCATCAAAGTTAATAATAGTAGCCCCACCACCTTTGGCTCATACTTAAACATGCATGAACCCTACCTTGCAAATGGGTGACCATACTGATACTAGATTAATCTTCTGGTTTAGAAATCACTTAAACTTCGATTTCAATGGTCCATCTGTACATCTCCTCCACCGGGACGGGGATGTTCAGAGTCAGTAATCCGGTAGCAACGTCATAATCGAAGTCAGTTGGAGCATTGCCCATTGTGCATTTTAGAGGGCGCTGGGACGAGTATGCACCAAACCGGCCACATCCCCTGACTTGGAGTGCAATAGTTGCTGCACTGGATCTATTTTCGCTGAGAGACGTAGACACCTCTGAAGAAACCTCACCATCGAAGAGCAATGGTTTTTTCTTGTCGGAAACCAGATGGACTTCAAACTGCTCCACAGCACCACCAGTGTTGAGCATGTCTAGCAATCCTATTGGTGCAAAGTAAATGTTTGATGTGATTTCCTGCACCATAGAGATTCAACCATTACATAGGATATTGCCGAAAAAAATAATAGAGCATATTAATATAGTGGAAGTTAATAACAGAGAGAGAGGGGCTCACCTTCAGAGGACAGAAGTGGAAAAGTTCGTATTCCAGAACTCCAAGTGTGACGGGCAGTGAAGCACCTTTTGGTAACCTAGTTACCTCCCCTGAAATATAAATGGCAGCGTTGAGCATGGCATATTTACAGAATTTTCCAAAAATAGTGTTCCTAACTTTAAAGGGTAAGAAATTCGACTAAGCACTTCATATTTGTTTTTAACCTTATAAACTAATATCTCATGCATACAATTCCATAAGTAGGCAAACATAAAAATCCATTTTTTTCAGTCAAAAAGAGGAAACTACTTGTGCAAAAGAAAGGTAAGCAATTTAAAATACTAATGTACCTGATCTATGGGCATACACTACTGTTTCCCCATTCCAATCTGGGCCAGCAACTTGAGCTATGGCGTCAACATCCATGGCTTGTACAGAAGCAGTGAGGGTGCCAGGAGATGCATCATGGATACAGGTCTTCTTTGCAACCTTGCACCAGCCAGCACCTTGGCAGTTGAACACACCAACCACACCAGTGCATTTATTCACATTCCAAATTTTTAGCAAGCTGCAGAATAATAGCAAAGGGAACGAGTCTAGTTAATTACAACACATGTCAAGGAATAAGATTGATCAACGGATAGAGGTTGGACAATAACGAGCAAACCTGGTCCCATCTCTAGCTGGATCAGCAAAGAGGCAGTCACGTGTGGGCCTGCCAGGCAATTGGGCACGAAGCACTGATCCGTCGGGGAGGACCAGCTTCTTTAAAAGCTCGAAGTTGTGGTTGCCAGGCTTGTCACTATCGGAAAAGAAAGAGAATAGAACTCTCATTAGGTCACAGTAAATTGTCATTAACTTGATCGATGGAACAAATACAAGGCCCAATTCCAACTATACCTAACATAAATTGCACATCCTCCAACAGACCGAGCTGCAGCATGATAATCAGCAGCTGGGTGTAGGCTCTGCAACAAAGATATGCTCGTCAACATCTCATCCTTCACATGATTAAAGCATTACGTGTAATTTCTCAGCTCAATAATGTTCCATTCTAAACACAAAGCTGGATAAAGCTATGATGAATTGCATATGTTGTACACTTACATGGAACATGTCCCAATCAGGTTGCATGAACTCTCCAAGGAATAGTGTGTTGTAGGCCACAGCAGAAATGTGGATGGTGTGAGAAGCAGGGTCACGAGGGAAGTAGTCATCTGAAGCCCTTACTACAGCAGTTTGCTTGGCACTATAGATCCCATCAGTATTGTGGCACATGCAAGCTATGCATCCATTGTCAGCAAAGTTCCGTGCAATAGAGGCTTCAAGGGCCTGGTGATAGCTGCGGGTGAGGGAAACTCTGCCACCATGGCCAGCACCAAGGGTCTCAATAATGTTCTGCACATCAACTTTGACCCCATCTACTCCGCATGAAGCCAGGTAGGAATGAAGCTCGTTGTAGAAGTTGAAGACCTTCTTTGGGTGCACCAGACCCAAACCATGAACAGCAAGACTGTCCATGACAATGTCTGGTTGGTTTCCCAGTATACCTGGAGACTGAACTGGGTATGCCAAAGCACTGTCATAGTGCTCCATACCAGCACCAGCTGGCTGCACTCCACCCCAGTAACCTGCTAGAGCATGCCATACATACACGTACCTGTGCCAGATGGATAATAAATAAAATTTGTATCATAATATAGCAGATGTTTTCCATTAAATGAAGGATGCAAACGTAAGTGAAACAAAATATTTTTTCAAGCCAAAATCCTAATCAGATTCTCTGTATTTCTCTATCTTCACTAAATGGCCACATAATAGCTAATGACAATTTGAATTCGAATTCTTGTACAAAGCAGGGCATGCATATTNAGCCAAAATCCTAATCAGATTCTCTGTATTTCTCTATCTTCACTAAATGGCCACATTATAGCTAATGACAATTTGAATTCGAATTCTTGTACAAAGCAGGGCATGCATAATACTGTATCGAGGTGTAAATTTAACATCCACTATGGCATCCAAACAGTGACTCATTTTTATCTCGACAACTGGTATCTAACTAAATGCTCTGCAACATGTTTAACTACAAGGATGAGGGACCGATGTTAAAAAAAAAAAAAAAAGCTTGCAACATTTTCTTGATAATATAGGAAAATCTAGCAGAGAAACAAACAGATAAATAAACAAATCATCGTCGAAGGACGTACTTGACATTGTGATGCTCTTTGGCTTCATCCACAACGTGTTTCAGGCCTGGTACCTGATCTTCTTTCTTCCCATTCTTGTGAAACTTAGCATTCTCTTTGATTCCTGTTAGTCTGTTTGCAAACCTGCAAGAACAAGTAGCAACAAATCAACAAACAATATATGATTTGAAGAAAACAGCATAATAATTAATGCCTTCAGGAAAAAGAANTTGATTCCTGTTAGTCTGTTTGCAAACCTGCAAGAACAAGTAGCAACAAATCAACAAACATTATATGATTTGAAGAAAACAGCATAATAATTAATGCCTTCAGGAAAAAGAAAAAAAAAAAGAAGTCTTTTTCCAATCTCAAGCTACAGGAGAAGTTCTAAGACAAGTAACAACATATGTCAGAAACTGTACTAGATGTCTGGCAAGTGGCAAGTATATTAAGCAGTAACTATCAGCTCAACTGTCAAAAGTATGTGTTTCTTTGGAAAAAGATGCGAACACCACTTTAACAACCCCTTCTTTTCTTCTTTCCTTCACATAACTTGTGCAATGACCATTGTTACATTTGTTCACGTTCCCAACAACGTGGTGCCATCTCAATTTAAAATCTGAAGTCAGACCGTATACTCTAATAGGATCCCATTGTAAACCCTTTTACCAGCTTTTTCATTCTAAGGCAGTTTTTGTTATTGTGCTTCCCAAAATCTTTAGCTAATAAAAGCATCAAACGCATTGAGGTCCCCTTGGTATTTACAAGATTTATGNACCATTGTTACATTTGTTCACGTTCCCAACAACGTGGTGCCATCTCAATTTAAAATTTGAAGTCAGACCGTATACTCTAATAGGATCCCATTGTAAACCCTTTTACCAGCTTTTTCATTCTAAGGCAGCTTTTGTTATTGTGCTTCCCAAAATCTTTAGCTAATAAAAGCATCAAACGCATCGAGGTCCCCTTGGTATTTACAAGATTTATGGGGGAGAGAAAGAAATAGGTATCTTACTGTGCTCCTTCTTGTATGACTGAATTGGTGTCCTTAGATTCACTACCAATCTGTTGCCAACCATCATCTATGATTAGAAACCGAGGAGGAGTCCCACCCTCTAACAAGCTGTAATTACAACCACCAAAATAAATTAGTAACCTCAATATCTACATTACTACAAATTTCCAAATACCAACAATGATAATATCAAATTTTGAAAATTCTACATTTTTCGAAAATACCTTTTAAGGCCTTCTTCGACGCCTTCGGCCGTGACATCTGTGTAGAAAGCATCCCATGTACACCAGCCAAACCAGTCAAGAAAAGAGGGCAACTGCACACAACCACGAAAAGAGGTCATAACACTTTCAGAAAGCAGCATTCTGTCCCACAACTCCCAAGCAAACTTTGTGAAACAAGAAGGGACTTTTCACCTTTTTCTTCTCTCGATGATTAAAAGTTTGCATGTGCTTTTCGACAGCTCTGTTTCATGAAAAGCATCCGCGCATAAGACAGGAGTCACAAATTAACAGGGCCAAAAAAGAAAAAAAAAATCTTTTCTAACTTTTTAGATTGTTGATGGACAAACTATAAAACACCAAGATTCATGTAGATAATAGTATTTTTTTTTTCTTTTGAATTTTCAATGAAAATAAAACACCAAAGAGGCATGCGAGAAGAGGACTTACTTTACAGCCTCATTGATGACTTCAAAGGGATTGGTTCCAGCATGCATGTAGACTAGATAAAGTCCTTGATTGGTTTCAACAGCATTATCTCCTGCAAAATCAAATGACACCAAGAAAAAACAAGTCGTTTTGGTTCTCTTTTGAACACATGCCTTTCTATTTTTCTTCCCCAAAATCTAAACTCCATTGTTTTGAGTCATTTGAATGACTGAGGGTTCATTGAATTCTCCAGCATGGCTGTGTTCGCATGAACAACAGCTCCACCCGCTATATTTGACACTAGTCTCCTTTTATATGATGAACGTGATGGGATTGGCAAAACGGGGTTATGGCCTTATGTAAGAGTGCACCACCACAACAGGGTGCATATAGCCTACACCAAATACTTTGCCATGATCAACTCACCACTCTCGAGGCAAATTTCCAGTTCATTCTTCTCATTGCCTTGGATAACAGCCCGGAACTGGCCTTCAAGAAGAGGAAGGAACACAGTATAGATGGTCGGGGCATCATTCTGTTCTCCTTCGGTACTGTCTTTGCTCTCCACAAGCATGAATTGGGTCTCCAAAGGAATATCCTTCCCGCATGTTCCCATTCTCTGAGTCATCCACCATAACTTGAAACGGAAACAACACATGAAGCGGAGACCCCTGTTGCAAAAAAGATAACAAAATTAAGACATTTTCATCCATTATTGTTGACAAGATATTGTATAAATCCTTGTCAAATTAGAAGATCTTTGACTTGGTTTTGCTAGCATAATAATCAATTAAATTTTAATTTTTAAGTTAATGGAGCCTATGGGCAAATGGTTTATTTGAAAAAAAGAACGGGTCCTCTGCATGGATTCCTAATTCACAAGTTATACATGTCAACCAACCACTACATAATTAACAAACAAAATGAGTTTAAGACATCTAGCATGAACAATGATACAGGCCAAGTTAGGGTTGACTAATACTCAACCCAACTCCAAAATAACTTGGCCCAAATATGACACAACTCAATTTTAAGAACAACAATAGGATCCAAAACACTCTAAATGGATATGATAAAAATTTGAAGTCATTCTGTTTGCATGTGTTCATGCCGAATCCATTGCCTACCAAAAGTTAGGAACAAAGGTGGAACCCAAAATTAAAAATGAATAAAATATAATAGGCCAAAAAAAAGACTAAAAAGAGAGAATCAACAAAAAGGGTGGTGTCTTCACAGCAATGAAAGAAGGATGTGTGTTGCTTTTATAATACCAATCATCATAGTTTTAAATATTCTGCTAATCAGTATAACGCTAATAATATGTGTCAAAAATCCTGTCTGGGTTGTTAAGCACCTGTGTGAGGAGTAATGTGCCACATTTACTGTGTGAGGAGTAATGTGCCACATTTACTGTATGATGTGATGACCGAAAAAAATCCATCCACCATAAGATGAATCCCACTTAGAGAAATCAACTCATGAACACATAATGTAGTAAAGGGGATTCGCCTGATGGTGGACCAAATCCTTTTTGCTCATGCTGATCCCTCAGTATTGGGCATATTATGCAGGTGACTGTTTGGTAACAAAATCAAATTACAGAAAACTTCATTTATCAAACAGAATGCAATTCTAACATCTATATCTTATCAAAAGATAAAAAACATTGCAGAAACATTGAATGTCACTTGTTATCAACTACTTTTCTCTACTTAGTCAAAAATATTTGTTAATTAGTAGCTTGGTGAACCTATGTGCAAGAATGGAATATGCCAAAAACAATAAATTATTTCAGATGTAGAAACTTTTCTCATGCAAAAAGATGTGTACATACATATGCTATTGAAAGATTGCTTCCTTATATTTTTTTTTTTAGAAGCAATGAGTGAGTTTTCAAAAGAGGATATGAGACCTAACATGGCATAATGACAACATGTGGATATCCTGAGAACAGTTTACTCAGAAAAGTTGAATGCTTACTCTAAGGTGCCCACAGGAAAAACATGGTGACTTTTGCTATGAGAAGCCGTAGCACCAATGAATGCTCCAGTGACAAGACCCACACCAGATCCTGGAGTCAGCACGATGTTTTCGGGCACTCCTGTCAGTATGGTCTTCCCCTGAACCACAAGGTTCCCATCGTTGATGGAGATATTTGGTGTAACTGTCATCTCTGCCCACCTTACCACTGGCTGACAATGAGCTACATCAATGAACAAAGACATTAAGCATACCTCAGAAGTGAGAGAGCAGACTTTAACATTATGAATTAAGGAACTGAAATGTTTACACTCCCGTTGCTCATTTGCTCAACCTAATCTTCCAAAGGCATATTCATCTAATATAGAAACATCGCACATGTATGATAACAACAAAGACGTAAGAATTCTTAGAGGATTGTTCAAGATAAATACTAAAAGGTACAAATTTAGCCCTATCAATTAAGGAAATTAAAACATTTACAATCCAAAGTCATTATTATTCGAGTACTTGAAAATGAATCCTAGTTACCAAATGGTCATATGGGTAGTAATACAGTCATTCAACTAATTAAGACAGCATCCTAATCACACATCAAGGGATAATTTTTTTTAGATGTTTCCAGATTATTTCTGAAATGAAAAGTCCATGCCTATAAGCTTATTCGTCCAACAGGCCAAATCCAGTTCCCTCCATAGCTTCTTTTCCTCCATTTTCCTTCTTGGTACATCACCCACTATATAATGGTGAAGGTAACTCTTGTATATACTGGATGCATATGAATCCACAGTAGGTAATTTTCCTAGAAGAAAAATGGAAAAAAAAGTATATTGGATGGCATTTCAGTCCCAGCAATGCTGCCTCAACCATAGAGAAAAAAAAAATCATGGGCTTTAGACCACACTTATAAATAAAGCCAATAAAGCCCCCACATTTGAGAGATCAATAATCTAATACAAGTAAAAGATTAAAACTNGAAAAAAAAGTATATTGGATGGCATTTCAGTCCCAGCAATGCTGCCTCAACCATAGAGAAAAAAAAAAATCATGGGCTTTAGACCACACTTATAAATAAAGCCAATAAAGCCCCCACATTTGAGACATCAATAATCTAATACAAGTAAAAGATTAAAACTCAATATAATTTAGTCCAACAAAAACAATCCTCAAAGAGTATGCCAACAAAAATAATTTTAAAATTAGGTCAACAAGGCCAACCCACCTCAAACAATCACATTTATTAAAGGACAAAAAGGAAAACAAAACAGTCTTGACAACATCAATTTTTTTATTTTTTTTTACTTTTTCATATAAAAAGAAATATAATAAGCTTTAATCTTTCTCTCTTTCCCTTCTACAAAAGTAAAACCAAACTCAATACACTCTCTACTTTTTCAAACTCGATTTTGTTGTGATTTAAACACAAAATACCAACTAAACTATTCATTCTCATAAAGGATCCAAAATAAAACCTAATTTTATTTCAAAAATATCTTTTTGATAAATTTTTTCTTCGTAGCAAATAAAATGTAACAAAATTTAAGTAAAAATTGCAAATATAAACAAGTAAATGATTCTAAAAATTTTGAACATAATAGAATAATTTAACAAAAATATAATAATGAATGTTTTTTTAATCGTAGTAAATCATGTAATACCACAATTTCGATAAAGAAAACGTACAAAACAAACAAAAATAACATAAAAATATCACAGAGGCAATAGATTATAATATTGTCAAAAAGTATTTGCGATCAAAAGTCATGTTATCAATTAAAAAGAGATGTTAGCAAAATTTGAAAAAAAATTAATTAACAAGTTTTAAAATTTAAATTAAAAACTTTAAAAATTAAAATAGTATTAAAAATTTAAAAACCTTATTGACACTTATTGCTTTTATATGTTCTCAATCTTCCCCCGACGCCCACTAAGTCACCACTTGATCTTGTTCAATTCTAGTAAGGGCATGAGCTCACAAAGAACGTAAAAGATCAAATTATCATGATCATATGTAGAAATTAGGATAGTTACAACCAAACGTGTATTTTCTATAGCATATCTCATAAGAAATAATATAATCAAGTTCATCCATTTTTTTGTCTGTTTTGAATAAATTTACTATTTGGTATCTGATCTATTGTGGTACCACAAGAAATTTAGATCTCAAGCTGAAGAAAGTTCGTTGTTTCTTTGGGATAACAAGAGTAAGCGAAGTGTTAATAGTTTTCTGTCGGTAACTGTGGACTAACTTCAGCCACATCCACTGTATAGAAAAATAATTTTTTTACAACTGAAGAAAAAAGGATAATCGTTTAGTGTCCATATTACTTCTGCCACCGCCTTGTTTCGAAAATAATATAGACTCGGGGTGACTTCCAAAATAGATGAAACTAAACGCATAGCCTCAAACTATGACCTCTATATCAATTAAACTCCTAAACTTTTTTTTTTTGTCAATTTATTCCCTAAATTCTTTAATTATGTCAACCGAGTCTTTCGGNGGGTGACTTCCAAAATAGATGAAACTAAACGCATAGCCTCAAACTATGACCTCTATGTCAATTAAACTCTTAAACTTTTTTTTTTGTCCATTTATTCCCTAAATTCTTTAATTATGTCAACCGAGTCTTTCGGTCTGTCTCCTAACGAAAAAATGACGAAGTGCGCCACCACTCCCGTGATACAAATAATTGGAGTAATCTACACAATCCTCAAACTATGATACTTGTATCAATTAAGACCTTAATTTTTTATTTTTTATTTTTGTGTTAATTAAACATCTGAACTCTATTGAACCCTCCTGTCTTTTTGTGTCACATAGTCAACATAACACAACAAAAGCACAACTGAAGCAAACAAACAACAAAATAAAAAAGCAAGAAAATAGTTTGAAATCTATAAACATAATTACTGGTGGATCAGGTAGTCTATTTCAGCTGGAAAATAAATTCCGAAAAGAGAGGAAAAAAGACAGAGAATATTGTGAAACGGACTGAGTGGTAAATAGCTTGTTTCTAAAGAGAAAAAGCGTGTGACGAGGAATGGCGAGAAAGATACAGAGAAAAGGGGTAAGTAAAGTTGTTCATGAAAATATTGACGACAAAGAAAGCAGAAAGGGCAATCAACTTTTAAGTAAAAATGAAGGATCGCATGAAGATACAGAAAGTTCTGGAGAGAGAAAGTGTATGACTATTTCTCAAAGTTGAATTTTTCTGTGTAATCTACAAATTCGAGGTGAAAATCAGTGAGATACGGAGAGTAAATTCGAAGAAATTTATGGGCAAATCCATCTAAATCCCAGCAAAATCACCCCAATCGACAAGTAGCAGAAGCAGATCCAACGACCGCCACGAACCAAACATGCAAACGGACCTCAAAATCTACCAACACATGAGATGAACATCAAACTTTCTCAAATTTTTTCCGCCATCAACCATATCTAGAACTTTCCAATCACCTGTTGAACGCTTCAACTGCCTCAAATGCTTCAAATTTTGTCGAAAAAACGAACCAGGAGCCAAAGATCGATAAGCAGGTAGAATAGAAGCTGAACGCACGATCATGATAAAAGAAAAACAGCAAAATTCACACCAAAAGAACAAAAATTAAGACTGACTAACGAACATATCTCGAAATCCAGAGTCGGTGACCATGGAATTGAAGGCAAAACTCATCAAATCACCTTTCGAACGCATTAAATTTCTTCGTAAAAATAAACCAGGAGCTGAAGGTCCACACGCAGGTAAAACACAAGCTGAACGCACGATCATCACTATCAAAAAAATCACCAAATTTCACTCGGAAAGAAAATACGAACTCCAAATTATGAAGAATTCAGCAAAATTCAAAGCCACTGACCAAACCGCCTTCTCATAAACATGTATTATGAATCAAGATACACCTCCAAAATCCTCAGATTTTCAAAGCTTCGGACTCAATAACGACAACAACAAACTCAAAAAAGTCACCAAAACCTCCATCAAAACTCACCTCTGTATCTCAAGCCGCCTCACCACCTGTGATCAATCAAACTTCTCCGACTGATCAGCTAGCTCTATACGGATGTATGCGCAGAGAGAGCAACCTAGAGAAAGAAAATCAACTCAGCAGAAGCGCATTCACTGGAATGCGAACTTCTATGAGAGATTAGAAGAAGAACAACCCAAGCACCGTCAACAATGGGTATGGGAGCAGAAATGAAACAAGCTCGGTTTATATACTCTGTTCGGGGTTAAAGATCGAGCAAGTCGGTGGGAAGATCAACTTAGACGCGAACACGTGGAACCAACTCCACTAGATGTCCGGGGTTTAGCTTTGTATTGAAATGGATATTTTGGGTATTTTGTATCGCGTGAAGTGCAGAGTTTGGGAACAAGTGGGGGACTTAGGATACGTCACTACGTCATCGCGAGTAATTACCAAGGAAAGTTGTTCGTTGTTTTTCTCTGTTTTACGGATTGCTATAGGCGGTGCATAGGGCCAACAAAAAGGGTGATGTCTCTGAGGATTATATTCATTATTTTAATTTTAGAATATTAATTTTAGTTATGATTAAGGCCATCGAAATAAATTTTGACCCGAATCCAAGTATATTTAATTAAATATGAATTAATATTTTAATTTGATTAGTCGAATCCGATCAAATTTATTTAAATAGATATAAATTTAGATACATTTAAATTTATATATATGAATAATAAAGTACATTAAATTCAAATTTTAAAAGATAAATAAAATGAATTCTACTTTTTCCGGTTAAGATTTCTTTAAATTTTATTTTAAAATTAATTTCAAGGCAAATATTAATATTTTAAATTTAATAAAAAAAAATAAGTCTTTAAGAGTGTATTTAAAGTGACTTTTTAAAGCTGTTTTAAAAACTTATAATTTCTTATAACTACTTTAAACAAAAAAATAGTATTTAGAATCGTCTTACCCCCACCCCCACTGCTCCACCACCACCACACCCACCTCCCCACAACTACCATCACCACTACAACCACCACCGTTGTTGCCACCCTACTACCACCACCACTCATTCCCACCATACCTACCACCACTACCCTTCATTACCCACCACTGTCACCCACCCCCTACCACACTTACCACCATCGCCATTGGCCACCACCTATTATATTGTAGCCCAAAAACATCCGTCGTCACCCCACTACAACAACTAGCAACAACCATCACCGTTGCCTACCACCACCCATACTCACACCCACCACCACCATCGTTGTCACTCATAATTGTCACTACTATGATTATCGTTGCCACCCATAGCTACCATCATCACCACAGTCATTGTTACCCACCACAACCATCATCGTCTCCTACTACCACCACTGTCGCCCATCACCTCTCACCCCTCATTGCAATCGATACTTAAATTCTTTTATCTCTCTTCTATGTTTCTGATTTGATTTTAGATATAAATACAAATATATTTATTATTGACCATTATTTTATTATTTTGTACCTTCAGACACAGACAATAACTAGTCTATATAATAAAGTAAAATACAATTCAAATCTCAAAAGATAAATAAAATGACTTTTACTATTCGCGGTTGAGATCTCTTTAAATTTTACTTTAAAATTAATCTGACGGCTAATATTAAAATCTCAAATTTAATAGAAAAAATAGATCCCTAAAAGTGTATTTTGAGTAAACTTTTTAAAAGTATTTCTAAAAATTATTTCTCACAAGTACTTTAAAGCAAAAATAGTGTTTGGAACCACTCCAGTGCTCCACCACTACCTCTACCACCATCACCCTCACTCACTCCACCACCACCACTACCACCACCACCACCACTATCACCTTACCACACCCTCCACTCCACCCACCACCTCTTTCACTACCCCACCACCATTATCACCACTATCATTACTTCCCCACCACTATCACTACGACTACCATCATTGCCCCACCACCACTATCACCCCCATCGCCCCACCACCACTCCCACAACCATCACAAGTACAACCACCACCACTGTCCCACTTGTACCCCCACCCCACACTCACTGCCCCACTATCACCACCGCCATTATCGCTCACTACTAATTGTTATCATCGTCGTCCACTGCCATCACCTATTATCATCATCATCTTATTCTTATATTTTATGACCATTGTCACTATCATCCCACTATCACCGTCAGCACCCACCACTACCATTATTGCCCACCGTCATCCATTATCATAACCCACCACCTGTCATCACCCCAATATCACCACCAGTCACTTTCACCCACCCCTACCACACCTACCACCATCACCCATCATTGTCTACCACTACAGTCTCCCATTGTCACCTACCTCCACCACATTTACCATCATTGTCATTCACCACCACCCATCACATTGTCGCCTAAAAACACTCATCGTTGCCCACACCGCCCACGACCAACATCGTCACCCACGACTATCACTACATCATCGTTACCCAAAAATCCACCACTATCATCACCGTTGTCACCCACCGCTGCCACTTCTACTATAGTTGTCGCCACCCACCACTATCACCGTCTCCCACTATCATCACTGTCGCCCACCACCACTAACACCGCTCACCTCCATTACAATCGGTACTTAAATTTCTCTTCTTTATGTTTGTGATTTGATTTTGGGTGTGAATACAAATATATTTATTATTGACAATTTTTTTTAACTAATCTATATAATAAAGTACAATACAATTCAAATATCAAAAGATAAATAAAATAATTTTTGTTATTCGCGATTGAGATCTGTTTAAATTTTATTTTAAAACTAATCTGACGGCTAATATTTACACTTCAAATTTAATATGAAATATAGGACCTCAATGGTGTGTTTGGGTGATTTCTTAAAAGTGTTTTTAATACTTATTACTTCTCATAAGTGTAACACCCTGATTTTTTGGACCCGTTACTTAATTAAATCAATTGATAGATAATAAACCACAAATAAATCTCCAAGTATAGGGTTAAAGCTCTAATTGCCTCAATAAATTTATAATCAAAATTTTGATCTCCAAATACCAATAAAATAATCTCCTCAATATAAAACGAGTTTGTTTAAATTATACATCACCCCAATAAATTCACAAAATTAAAAATTATATCAAGATTTATATGTCTTCGATTCTTCAAATATCAACTCTGATCCTTCTCTCCGAGATAATTCTGAAAAATATTAAAGGCAAAAAAATATACAATATGACATGAAACAATATGTTCAACGATAAAAGAATATGAATGATCAAATACCAAGTAATTCAATTGACAGACGATCATAAATAAAAGAATTCAGAATCCAATTTGATAAGTCACATAACTTAATATCTAGCAAACATAGCTTCATACTCGGGTTCTCTTGGTGACATGACAAGTGACACTTGGGCATATAAAATCTATACTCATATTGAACCATTACACCCCACAGGGCTGTAATCACAATCGCACCCCGTAAGGCCATAATCACATTTCACCAATTATGCTCTCAAATACACTTCGTATATATATCAATCAACCCCAAAGTATTTAGCCCAACGTACACGTACAGGTCAACCGATAACATTGACAGAATTTCATATCAATCAGAATAATCAACAGGAATACAAATTTCAGATAATGAAATAACACTCTTTGCAAAGAGATTTAAAAGACATGAGCATATTGTATACTACCCCGTACTTCAAATCCATCAATAACTTCAATAGATGCAAAATTCAAAATACCCTGAATCAAATAGTCAAATTTGATAGCAATCTAAAATAAAATCACTGCTTAATTTTTAACCCCAAGATCTCATGAATTTTTCTCTCTCTGTCTTTTCTTCTCTCTGTCGTGCTTGTTGCTTGGCCTGACTTGGCTATTTATAGCCAAAATTTGTTTGGCCTCCAAGCATCGCATGGACACTTGTCCATGTTACCTATCTTTCTTTCTTTTTTTTTTCTTTCTTCCTTTTAGCACGTTTCCAAATCTAGCATAGTATCTTTCGAATCCTGTAAAAATCTAGAATATGATCTTTCACACACACACACACACATATATGTGAGTATATATATTTATTATATGGTTACGATATGTGACCTAAATTATAGTCATTTGACTTGTTTTCACATAAAGAATTCATATTTGAAANTTAAAAATTATATCAAGATTTATATGTCTTCGATTCTTCAAATATCAACTCTGATCCTTCTCTCCGAGATAATTCTGAAAAATATTAAAGGCAAAAAAATATACAATATGACATGAAACAATATGTTCAACGATAAAAGAATATGAATGATCAAATACCAAGTAATTCAATTGACAGACGATCATAAATAAAAGAATTCAGAATCCAATTTGATAAGTCACATAACTTAATATCTAGCAAACATAGCTTCATACTCGGGTTCTCTTGGTGACATGACAAGTGACACTTGGGCATATAAAATCTATACTCATATTGAACCATTACACCCCACAGGGCTGTAATCACAATCGCACCCCGTAAGGCCATAATCACATTTCACCAATTATGCTCTCAAATACACTTCGTATATATATCAATCAACCCCAAAGTATTTAGCCCAACGTACACGTACAGGTCAACCGATAACATTGACAGAATTTCATATCAATCAGAATAATCAACAGGAATACAAATTTCAGATAATGAAATAACACTCTTTGCAAAGAGATTTAAAAGACATGAGCATATTGTATACTACCCCGTACTTCAAATCCATCAATAACTTCAATAGATGCAAAATTCAAAATACCCTGAATCA